AACGAAGCTCCCGATAGGATACCCGTATTCGGCTGTCACAGTTTACTATATTTAAATCGAACAATATTGCTGTGACGTATTGTCCGGCACGGGTTAACAGATCCAATGGTACTGATAGGAGCCATTCAACGGGCTGTGGTGTCTGCTCTGCTACAGTCAGAAGCTCTGGCAGGCGTTTACATGTAGCACGGCTCACCATACGCCTACCTCGACGAGGACAGTAGCATCACTCAGACTCGTTAAGGGTGGGAAAAGATGGCCATGCACACTGACTGCAGGTCGTCTTCAGTAACGAGTCCCGTTCCTACCAGTGTCGACCAGTCTGTGACTGGAAGTTCAGTGGGGAGCGCCAAGAAGAGCTGTTTGGTGTGTCTCATCACACATCCCTCCAGCTTCATGTGATGGTGTGGGTCGCGATATAAGTCTGTTCACCGATTGGGTTTCTCAAAAGAACCGTGATAGGTACGTTCTGCTGACCCTGAAATTAGTGGCTCAGCCCTTCGTAAGTAAGCACGCTCTTGCTACATTTCAACGCCCATCCTCTTACTGCTGCCGCCATCGCATGCCGCATCAGAGCAGCTGCGATTACTCGGCCGTGACCAGTCGCATTGCCTGCCACCTACCGATACAGAATGTTTATGGTGCAATAGAGCACAAGATCAGGAATCCAACCCTACCCTCCAAACCGCGCTCAAGAGCAAGCTGGAAGGAATAAACTACCACAGGATGCATTTCAGATCTGAACAACATCATACTGTGATATTTGAAGTGCGAGATCTCAACTGTGGTGGCACAAACGCTACACTCGATTATAACAGGATGACCTTTCGAGGTCACGAGGTGAGAAGTGAGGGTGTGGGCGACACTGTCATTCAATCGGGAGCTTCTATGCCAAAATTGAAGCCCCTACAAAGCTCAGGATTCGATGACAGAGCCGCCCCCCCTCCTGCTGGCTCGTGGTACTGAAAGAACTTTCTGTTCTAATCGGAGTAAAACATGCATCTTCTGTGGTCGTGTGTCATAATAAATGGTCCTACAAATGTAAAGTTTAATAATTTCGTATGTGTGGGCTCATTTACGTGCCTGCCAACAATGGTCGCAATTCACCTGGTCCTTCCGAGTGCAGCGTTTTTAAGGCGCGTTAGTAGGCGGTCGCGTCTTAGCAGACAAGGTAAGAACTCACGAAGCGTCATAGGTTCGAATCCTGCCTCGAACGGGAATATTTGCATGTGCCATGAGGCGCTCCTTATCACGATGAATCATTTTTCAAGTCTCCCTCTTCCATTCCTGGAAGGCTGGGAGCGCAGTCAAACTAGGTTTCATGAGCAGCACGCGTCTTGGGAACATGGGAAAAAAATTGCTTTGCGCTGAATTTTCACTGAGACCCTTGTTTTGACGTTTTATAAAAGGGATGATATGTTAGAATCGATGTCACGTATACGTTGCAAGATATTAGAGGTCAAAGGTCGGGCAAATCTCCCCCCTCCTCAAATAACCCGATTCCTGTGCTGTTTATGTTGAAAAACTAAATTATAACGTTTGTGAGAAAATTTCTCACAACAGTGATCGTAAACATACTTTTCTACGACAAACAGGTTTCTAGATATCTAATGTTATAAATTATTTTTAAAATCGTACTTCGTAAATATCCGCAATAGCATTTCAGTTTCTATGCGTCGTACATCAAACTGGATTATTATCAAACGTGAAGAAAAATAATATTTCCTATTAAACTTTTATTTTCCATACGACCAACCGCACGAAGATGAGCGAAAAGGGACAATGAATTCGTTCATAAGATAGAGACATTTACTCTGCGGAAATAAACGTACAACACACCCATATAACATTCATTCAAAAAATATTAGAATAAAAACAAATTGCTCAAAGTAATTGTTTGCAAAACATCTATTTTTCATTTTGCCTGATCTTTTTTACAATTTATAGCTTTATATTGTTTTGTTTTAAACTTCATACGCGTGTAAATAAATGAAGGCATAGTAACAATATCTAACAAAGTAATTCATTCATTTCCGTACCATATTTGAGATGGAATGAAAAAGGTTTTTTTTTTTATCCACGGTTTCGTGGGTTGCCCGCACGTTTTTTTTAGAAACAGAAAGTGGTATAATGTTCTGTTAAGTGGCATTAAAAGCTTCTCGATTCACACTTGTATGCGATTACCAGTAAGCGAAGGTGGATTTTTTACAAGTTTATCTTCAATCTATTTCATATGCAATTACCGGACGGGATAACACGTCTACGCTCTTCAACCAAGGAAAAGTTCGAATGAAAATGTTGGAGAAAATCTACCTAAAAGATGGTGTGCAAATGTATGCCTTATTTTGTTAGATATTGTGAATAAACTTATTTACACGTTGGTGAAGCTTAAACTAAACCATGTAGTTATCAATTGTTAAGTTATGGCAACCATGAAAAATAATTAAATTCAACTTTATATTGTTGGCCAACCTTGTGTACTAATTAGAGAATAAATATGATTCCTTTTTTGTTGGCTTAATTTATAAATATAATGAAAAAAGTTTTCACAATTTTTTTTGTTACTCAAAAAACAAGTGTTTCGCCAATTTTTCGTGTATTATCATCAAGCTCTGAAATTTACACAACAACTTAACTAGAACACAACAATAACAATCTTTAAACATTTAATTATGAACCTCTTACTAACATGAATAAAATAAACATTAACAATTCAAAACTAGCCACATTGGCACATTCAGACGATTTACCGGGAAAATTGAGTGTCGAATATGAGGTTCTGGTGTTTTAAAGCGCGTAGCGTGTGCGGAATTTCCGAGTCACGGTGTTGTTAGATTTGTTATAGTTGATTTAAACATTCCTTGTTATCATTGTTTATTATTGCTATTTTGTTATCGTTGTTCGCTATTGAATATTGGTATTGTTTCGTAAGTGCTGTATCTCCTGACATGCCTGAACAAAGTGGCAAACGCGACCGAGGCGGATAGACGATAAAACTGGCGGATAGAAGATTTTCATGGCTCGTCCTTCATACGCTTTCCCCCCTGCGCATTGTAATGCCAATTTACTTTCAACGGCAAGTTTTCTCGTTTCGCTCGCCCGGTTCCAAGTCACAGCGAGGCTCGGGCCTGCGGCCCTCGCGTTCACTATAAATATCCTTGAGTCTATCCACCGCATAATTACCATCTTTATAAGAAAGCACTTTTCAAGAAAGCCTTCAGAATTCAAACTGCGCAGTTACCGCCGGAGAGACGCGAAGTGCCGGTTTTAACGACTTCCGAAGGTGTACCGTGTACTAGACTTCAGCCCCAAATTTTCTGAATAGGCTCAACTTCAAAACGTAAAAAAAAAAAAATCCAGTTATTTACTTGAGATCTCCCCCACTTCACAATTTGAAATCGCCTCTGCTCTATTTCCCCTTCCTTTATTTTCACCGCTAACAAAGCACTAGGTCGATGAATTTAAAATAGCACAATTCACTGGTCAGAGAGACCGCTGAATGAAACGGAAGGTTGGTCCCTATAATTATTGTTTTTATTATTATTACTTGCTATATTTATGGTAGTTTTTGTGTAGTTTTATAAAAGTGTCATAAAGCTGAAAAGTAAGTTGGTGTCGTCATAGTCCGCAGTTGTGGCGGTAACACTGAACACCGGTAAAGCGCCTAAATGTGGCAATGTGATAGTTTTGAATTGTTAATGTTTACTATATTAGGGTAACTAAGAGGTTCATAATTAAATGTTGAATTGTGACTGTTGTGTTCTAATTATTTAATTTGTTGTGTATGTCAAATTTCAGAGCCTGATAATAACAATACGCAAGAATTGTCGAAACGATTTTTTTTAAGAAACCGAATTAAAATAAACGTGAAAACTTTTTTATTGTATTTATAAATTAAGCCAAAAAATGGATTATATTTATTTACAAAATGATTAAATTTAATATTCACAATTGTTTTGCGCAATTTTATTTTAGTACTAAAATATTTTACTGCCTGAACGTTACAAAGTATGGTATATGTTTATTTCGGAGATTAAACGACTCAATCCTATGGACGAATTCATCGTAATCCCTTCTCCGCGCCACGTCTTCGTGAGGTTTGTCGTAGAGAGGAAAAAAAGAAAATTAAGTTTCATAAGAAATATTATTTGATGATAATCCCATTTGACGCACAACGCGTAGAAATTTGGTTATTTAGATATTTACTTTGAGATATTTACGAAACTCTTTTAAAAATTATTTGTATCATTAAATATCTAGAACGTTGGTCTTAGAAAAAATGTTTACAAAACGTCGTGGGAAATTTTCTCATTTTGTTTTGGTTTTTCAACATTAAATGCGTAAAACAGAGATATTTGCGAAAGCAATTAGTGACCGACTTATTATATTCTGGAACGAACCATTTTTTCCGCAGCGAATGCTCTAACTTGACTGCGCTAGTAAAGCAGGTGCGTTGTGTGTTGTCCCGTGATGTGCATTCCTATCCCCGCGTGCATCACTCTTGAACCAAACCCTCCCCCTTAATTCCTTTCGCTTGTCTAGTAAGTTGTGTGAGCGTGAAAAGACGAGGTACGCGACGTACGAGCCAGCAACGTCAACGTATCGAATAGCGGGCAGGCCCTCCATTTCTCTCAACAGGACAGAGCGCGATAGGCTCTCGAGTACGCTCGTCAAATGGAGCGCGCACAATGGCCCAATAAAAAGCTCACGAGCCACACCGGCGCGCTGGATGGAGATACTAGTGGGTACCACGGTGGTTGCGCCTGGAAGAACCCTCTTCAGCCTAGGGAGAGCGTCTGTTGGCACCGATAAATGCATAGACTCAAAGCACAAATATACTCATAATTAAGAAAAATGATATATTAATTACCCATGTTCCTGATTAGAAAGAATAGCAAACATGAAATTGAAACATTTAATCAGACCGTACTTAAAAAAAAAAAAAAAAAAAAAGTTTAAAAAAATAAAAAAAGTTGCTAAATTTGCTAGACGGAGCTGACCCAGAACTTTCTTCGTCTTCCATTTAAGCGCCTTCCAGGTGTCTTCCCAGCGTATCTAATCAGCAGTTCCTTATTGGGGCGTCCTTGGGCATCTTCCTAGAAGAATAAAACCGCACATTTTGTAGACTGTCATGTTACCCACATTGCTGGCTTAAGATTCTGCATAAGAATCCTGTCTCACTACATGTAAACGCGAATATTTCTGTTGAGGTTCATGATGTATCGCAAGTGCACTGATAAATGACATTCACATTCCATTAATTTAATCAGCAAAATATGAATCATTCAATTAACGCCACGACGTGAACTATGCCACGAAAACTGAAAAGCGCGAAAATAAAGTTATTTTCTTGATCTGCATTGTCTTTGTAGAAGAATGGTGAACTATTGCGAGTGCTCTAAAATCAAATGATGTAAACTATAAGAGGGGGAGTACTATATTGTTTTTATTTGTTTGTGCATACGGAAGCAATTTACAACTCTGCAGTTATGTCAACTTTCTTTACATAAATCTCTTTAAAGAAGTGTGTGTTTCTCCCTTGATGTGGGAGCCTTATAAGGCACTCCTGGAACCAATTCTTTAAACTATGATTGTGGTCGCGTCCACTTCTAAGGTCATTAGTATCATTAGTGAAAGGCATGTTTTCCCCCCGAGATGTGGAAATCTTCCCCGCTGGATGGTGAGATCCGGCGCCGACCTATCTGTCGGGTAACGAGATTTTTCCCAACCAGGTATCTTCCAGCAATGGGGCGCCGCCCAGCCGAGCCCTAAGCTTCCCACCGATCTCCTGAGATTTGTGGTAGTGTAGTGCATGTAAGTGTGTGTAAAAGTGGTAAAGAAAGAACAAGGAAGAGGAAGGAAAGTGTGCGCGCGAGTATTCGCGAAGTATTGATCGGAGAAACCACGGAAAACTACCTCAGAGCAGGCAGTTGCTAGAAATCTCGACCAGACAGTGACTGAATTCGACCTAGCTATCTAGATAGGTTGATGCCCTCAGCCACCTATCATATCTCACTTTTGAGTGCCGCTCAACTACGACTAGACGGAGTTCTCAATTCGTGAAATGCAGGTGGTTCCTTCAAGTCTCTGAACATGTAGTAATTAGACGAGTAATTACCGATGAGAGAAGTGCCCAAGTCCAAAACACGTGGAGAAAGCGGGCATTACTAAAGTAGTAAATTGTTTCTGTATGCACAAAAATAATAAAATAGTAGTGACACATTGCACAGAGTTTCTCGTATTACTAGTAATTTGTGTTAAATTATTATATTGCTATTGATGAACTTATATTTCAGTTTTCTTGTGCAAAACTGCATGTCTTGTTAGTCTCTTCTACAACTAAATTGGTAAGTTAATTGATAGATATTTACGGACTTGACAACTGCTATGGTCATTAAGTCTCATTACTGTATAGAATGCTTCATTGCGGAAGGTGGTGGTGTTCCTCCCCGCTGGATGATGAGATCCGATTCCCACCTACACATCGGCTTGCTGTGTTATCCCCCTCTAAATATCTCCCCCGCGGGGCATCGCCACCTCCGGAACAATAGGGCATTTCTCCGGCATTCGCATGGTAATTATATTGACCGGCGAAATCTCAGAAACTACCGACGCAGTAGCCAGTTGCTAGAATTCTCCAAACAGTGTCTGAATTCCATTAGTTATGTAGCTAGTGTCGAAAATTCGTTAACGACGGAACTAGGACCTACCGGTCAGTCGCTGGACTGGGAGCGGCAATGCTGGCTCTGAGCTAACTCTGCTTCTGATTCGCTAAACTTTGCCCACTCTCACCAATATATGGTCCGGTTTATGAAATTATGTGATTTGCCATTGGTATTTCTTCCATAATTGAATCATTCTTAGCCAGTCTCTGAAGTACACACACTTCGACAAAAAAATCAGACCAAACACAGGACCCGACTCCATACCATGCCATCACATGTCTTCCAAAGTTGTATCATACTTTTCGCAAATGATGAATATCCTCTGTGGAGGAATAACTTTTCTAGCGAAAGAGCAAAAGGGGTTCAAAAGGTTTGGACTGGACCAATGCCGAGAAATTATGTGGCTAAAGAAAAACCGCAAAATACTGCCTGTGAACTTCAGACCCGTCAAAGAGCACGTGGGATGCATGCCGAAGAAACATACCGATATCTAGGATTGTTACAAGCAACACTATGCGCATTGATCATACCACAAAGAAAGCTAGAGAAAGAAAGAAAGAAAGAAAGAAAGAAAGAAAGAAAGAGAAAGAAAGAAAGAGAAAGAAAGAAAGAGAAAGAAAGAAAAAGAAAGAAAGAAAAAGAAAGAAAAAGAAAGAAAGAAAGAAAGAAAGAAAGAAAGAAAGAAAGAAGAAAAAGAAAGAAAGAACTAACCACCACATTTGAGCGGAGAGTACGAAGAATTTTAAAAACAGAACTTAATGGCGAGAACAGTTCCAATCCAAAGCTACTAACACTTACGCCTTGCCCATCTTAGGCTACTCAGCTGAAAATGTGTAGAGGAATATTACAGACAGAACGTTCAACAAAGAATGAGGGTACTGTCTAAAGCGCTTAAACGCCACCCTCGGAGCTTGCGGTAAACGTGTGACCCTCCCACGACACCTCGGCGGACGAGCCTTCGCATGACTCGAAACAACGTTGGAGGTCTCAGAATAGTCTTTCGTGCCAAATCTGCAGTTCCCAAACTTCACCATGGAGTTCACACAGTGTACGAATAGACACGTTTAAATTATGCATGTCTGAAGTAAGTTTTACGGCAGGGTTACCAGAAAAAAAATTCCCAATAGAGAACATTTTATTTAAAAAAGGGCATTTTAATTGAAAGGAGTATATTTTAAATTTTTATACTCTACGAAGTATAGACTATGTATTCAACAATTCCAAACCATTAATAGTCTTTAAAAAGCATATTAGACTTTGCGTCATTAAAAATGGAAGTTTCCAATTGGAGAACTTTGCCCCCGCACTCGCCTTCATTATCTACTCAACAATAAGCATAAATAAGTTTTATACCACAAAGAGTCTAATGATCTTTTATGCAAGACATTTGAGTAAAAATGTAGAATTCAAGTCATGAAGTCCCTTTAATGAATTCAATTACTTTAAAATTATGTCAGTATTATTTTCAATTCAACAGGACCAAAAGACATTACATTAAATTAGAAAAATAAGAGAGGGCAGTAGCAGTGTTAAAAAAGGAGAATATGTCTTCAAAGGATTCATGGTTGGCTTACAATTTTGCAGTTCGGCGAATTGGCCCTGAAGAACTAGTAAATATGTTAACTTCTATCCAAATAATAATAGATGATGCGCGTGGGCCGTACAATATGCATAACCCATTGTCCAGGAAAATCTTTCTTAACGCTTGTACAGGGACAGACCTATTCTTACACACAAACAGCAGTAATCGACATGATATCGTTATGTTCCATTAAAAAAAATCAGGCAAGTCCAAGCCATCAATTCCGAACACTTCAAATCTTGCTATAACACACAGAAAATAAGACCCAGTATTAGGAACCCTCAGTCTCTATCAAACAACAATGGAATGCAGACAATGTGTTCTTTGTTAAATCACAATATCTACAATGTAAATATTCCAGTAAATAAAATTAAACAATGGTTAAGTACTATGTATGGTTAATTACTCTGTGTTAATGGCGATCTCTATACTCTTAACACAGTATTATACATATGAGTATGTAATTGGCAGTTCGTGATCACGTGGTGAAGCGCTGTCCTCTGAAACAGCTAATCACAACCTTCGGCATTTGCTTGGTGTTCTCACCTGAAATTCTAGAACAAATGAATTCCATTCCTCGATTGTTGTTTCTGACCGGTGGTGTCTAGTATCGATAGTGAGATTATTGTGCTTGAGTGCTCGGAAACTATGAAAAGTAAGGTGGAATTACGAAGATATTGCGAACAGTGGCAAAAAGTCGCAGTGCAAAAAAAAATATGATAATGGAAGCATATCAGAATGAATGTAGCATTAAAGCTAAGGTAGGGCAATTATTAATAGCCTTTGGAGAATCGGACATAGTTTATACTAGTAATACGAATGACAGTAATAGCACTTGCAGTACAGCGCCTGACATACGTGGAGTTTTTCTTTTATAAACAAGTTTTACAAACAACTTTGTGCAAATTTTGTGTACATTGCGAACAATGAGTTGATAGTTTATTTATATAGTGTCAAATTAATATCTGCATATTTGTTACTTCGTCACTTAACCGCGCAGCTCGTGAATAGTCGGCGGAGGATTAGAAAATGTATTTTCCTTGTAACTTCTTTCATTCTTTATGACTTTTCATAGAGCAGCGGATACGTGGTAGAATGCTTAGTAGGTTGCAGCGCCGTCCCCTCCACGCCTGACAACCACACACTTATTACTAGGGGGCGGATTTTAATTAAATGTCTTTTTTTCTTTTCCCTTTAGAAGAATGCTGTTTAGTAAAGATATTACTTCTATGTTATAACAAGAAGAAATAACCCATATTTTTATAATATTTTTTTGTCGATTTCGACTAATACGTTGTTGTATTTTTTTTTTAAACTTTACCCATTAATGCACTTCTCGTTCATTTAACTGATTTTAATACTTTCATGGTACTTGCTTCAAATAACATTTACGAGATGCAACAATGTTCTCCACAGAATTCCTGAGCAACCTATTCGATTTCTTCGCTCATATCGCCGTTGTAATGTCAGCCATTGGAAGTATGTAATCCAAGCTTTCTGGGAGAATTTTTTTACGTATTTTTTCTTTGTTTTCGGGGCATTTTAAAAATATTTTAAGAGCGTTTTATTGAAATTTGTTGGGTTTTATGTCATCAAAATCCGCTCCCTAACTTACTACATTCGAACTTAAACACGTTCACTGTCCTGCGAGTCATATGTGGTTCACAAAATGTAACATGCGACATGAATATGTCCGTAAACCATCCGTATATATATAATACGATAGTTCCTGTAGTGTTAGTTAACATTGATACAATTTTTTATTAGTAAGTGCTAAGATGATGGTTTGTAAAACTGAAGAAACTTTCGAGTAGTTTGATCTGCTGATAGCGAATATTTTTCAATGACA